GGTATTCACTAAAGGAATACAGAGATCGGATAGTCAGTAGGAAAGCCTAGGTCAAAAATACACAAGAATCAGTACCAGAAACGCGCTCTCGGATAACGAGAATGGAAAATGGAAACCACAACAGGGCATCGTGAAATGGACAAAAAAGGTTTAAATAGCCTAAAGTGCTCCCTGATTGGCTGCAGGGAAGCATGTGATAGTGAACGTGTGTGTGTGTGACATCACCCACACGTTCCAAATGGTATGGCTCTATAAGGGTTAATAACAAAACCCTTAAAAGGTTAATTAAGTACATGAGGCATTTGTAAGAGCAGTTAAACATAGGATTAACGTAAACTGTTTATTTTCAGGTTCAGGCTTTGAGCGCTGACATTTAAAGGGTTATTTGCAGAGTACTCACCCTCCTGTGTAGAGTTGAGCGAACCCGGACTGTAAAGTTCGGGTTCGTACCGAACATTACGTTTTCTGGACCCCGGACCCGAACACGGACATATCACTGTATGTTTGGGTTGGAGTTCGGTGTTCGGCGATTTAATGGTGCGTTTTCAAAGGCTGCAGGGCAGCCAATAAACAAGCGTTTGACTCGTGTGCCCTTAGAAGCCATCACAGCCATGCCTACTAATGGCATGGCTGTGATTGGCCAGTGCAGCATGTGACCCAGCCTCTATATAAAAACTGGAATCGCGTAGCACAGCATGCACATGAGCTCTTATTAGTGTAGGGAGAGAATACTGCCGCTGTGAGGGACAGCTTAGGAAAAAATTCTGCAAACTAGAACATTAGTGGGGTGCACTTCATATCCGAGAGTCAAATAGAAGCGTCAAAAAGTGCTGTCACATTGCAGTTTTAAAACTTAACATTTTTTGGGTGCTAAAAAGTACATTAGTGGGGTGCACTTCATATCTGAGAGTCAAATAGAAGCATCAAATAGTGTGCGTACAGCACAATTGTAAACATTCTTATTTTTTGGGTGCTAAACTGCTAAATAGTACATTTTGGGGCCTGCTCTTTATATCTGAGAGTCAAACAGAAGCGTCTAATAGTGTGCTTACAGCACAGTTGTAAACATTCTAATTGTTTTGCTGCTAATCTGCTAAATAGTACATTTTGTGGCCTGCTCTTCATATCTGAGAGTCAAATAGAAGCGTCTAATAGTGTGCTTACTGCGCAGTTGTAAACATTCTAATTGTTTTGCTGCTAATCTGCTAAATAGTACATTTGCGGACTGCACTTCATATCTGAGAGTCAAATCGAAGCTTCTAATAGTGTGCTTACAGCGCAGTGGTAAACATTCTTATTTTCTGGGTGCTAATCTGCTAAATAGTATATTTGCGGTCTGCGGTGCACTTCATATGTGAGAGTCAAATAGAAACGTCAAATACTGCTGTCACATTGACTTAAATTTTTTGGGTGCTAAACTGCTAAATAGTATTTTAGTGCGGTGCACTTCATATCTACAAGTCATGCTACAACAAAATTAAACAAGTTTTAAAATATGTATGGGCCAACCAGTGGCTGTAAAAACAAAGTTTTACCGGTTACATTCATGACTACACACTCTAGTGAACAGGACCTTCACGTAGTGTGTTCTTTTTTTTTTTAAAATCATACAGCATCCTTTCATGTGCTTTTCAGATGTCATATTGTGAATTACCAATTTTGGTGTAGCCTGAATTTTTTTTTTTTTTTAAGTGAAAAATAAGTGTTATTGTGATCGCTTCATATACAAAAGCATTAATATACATTTCTATATTGTGTAAAGACACAACTACAAAGTTAAAAACCAAACACCAAAACAACGTGCCAGACAATCTACCTGTGCATGGCTAGTGTGATACAATAAGTCTATATCTTAAAAATGCAATAACCCACAGAAGATGGGCGAGAATTGTTTTTGCAAATGGAACTTTGATTCAAATTTACTACATCGGTCACTTGTACTATTGTTTCGCACCTACAACACTTGTTAAACAGATCTAAGTAATGGACAACAGATTTATATTTTCTATACTAGAAACTAGCAGATAACAAGCTACTATATTTAAACCAGTTATCAATAGCTAAGAGGTACTTCAACAATATTGTAATTCTGGGGCAATACCCTCACAAGTCAAACTGAGAGGTCTGTTTTACAGGGAAAACTGTTGCATGGATACAATTCTAAAACAATTTCCATATGTCCTTTGCAGACTTTACATGCTGGAAAAACACAGGTGCCAACTGCTGTGGCTTTCTGCAGTGTGCAGACCTGCAAGGAGGACAGGGTTGAGGAGTGGGTGGAAGATGATGTGGAGGATGATGAGGTACTAGACCCCACATGGAATCAAGGTCATGCGAGTGACGTGTGCAGTTTGGAGGAAGAGGCGCTGGTCGCACAGAGGCACCAGCACAGCATAAGAGGGAGCAGGGTGCAAATGTTTCTTTTTTTATAAGTCCAAATATTTTGGGGGCTACCCCAATTAAAATAAAAAATATATTTATAAAAAAGTGTTGGCTATCTCCTCCTCCTCCACCACCGCTTCCACCTACACCGCAACGGTCACCGCCTCCTCAACCTATGGGTCACTTAGTATAAACTATGTACACAATAGCAGAGGCTTGTGAAGGCCTTTTCTCCATGCATCAGGAGTTGAGCTCAGTTTGAACAATGAAAGAGAATACCCTGCATTCCAACCCTCTCTCAAATGGATAATTCTGTTGATCCTCCTGACAGCCATGCTTTAAATTTTGATTTATGGTCTTCCAAAGCTAAGATCAAAGATTCCATCTAGTGCTATTTTATGGCTCAGCTGTATTTTGAATTTTTATGTTATTTTAAGTGATTTCCCTATCCACATTTGTTTGCAGGGCACTTGTCTTACTCTTACCCCCATTTTACTTCCTTTTGCAGCCCTCTAGCCCTTTCCAGGACTTTTTTAGAGGCATTTTTGTGGCCAAAAGTTCGGGTCCCCATTGACTTCAATGGGGTTCGGGTTCGGGGTCAAGTTCGATCACGAACCCAGACTTTTTTTCAAAGCCGGACCAACCAGGTGTCCGCTCAACTCTACTCCTGTGTCTTCTGAAGACCAGTCTTCCTAAGATTGATGATATTAGAGCTGCAGAAGTAGCTATACAGTGTGCTTCACTCAATGTTGTCCCTTCTCCTCTTGCAAGACACTTCGTGTGTGAGAGGTTTTTTAGTGGGCAGATGGAATGTAATCCAATTTACTTCCTGGCAGTTCAACAAACATACACTGGAGGAGCTGGGACACACTAAGTTTTACACCCCTAGTGTGTATGTGTGAGCGTACTATGTGTACAGGGAGTGTAGTGTGTGGGTATTGTGTGTGTGTGTGTGTGTGTATAGGAGATATAGTGTTTGTATATATAGGGGTGCTATGTATGTATAGTGGTGTAGTGTGTGTTTATAAGTGAAATGTGTATAAAGTGGCATAGTGAGTGTGTATATGGGGTGCAGTGTATGTGTATAGGGGTGCATTGGTTGTATAGGGGGTGTAGTGTGTGTGTGTATGAGGGTATAATGTGTGTGTGTGTGTGCGTGCACGCTTTCGTTCGTTTCGTGGACAGAGACTGTAGTATGTTTGTTTACAGGGTGTAGTATGTGTACAGGGTATAGTGAGTGTGCATAGGGGATATCCTGATTCCTGAGTGTGCATAGGGGGGCATAGTGTGTTGCACCATACATACTGCCCCATATGCTATTATTGTTCCCCTACACTGTATCATATATAATTAAACTGCCACCACTAGTGTACCATATGCTGCTACATTGACCAGTATGTGGCCAGTTTGCTCTTTATATTGGCCTACCACACAGAGAGACACACACTAGAGACATCCAGACAGGGAGAGTCACACAGGAATATAAAAGCACATACCCAGAGAGGGAGTTGTAGAGCTTTAAAATTATATATATATATATATATATATATATATATATATATATATATATATATATATATATATATATATATAAAAACTATTGATTAACGGTTAACAGTGGTAAAGTATCCTTAACCTCAAAACCCCTTATTGGTTTGAAAGGGCAGATCATGTGAATCAAGTCCCAGGCAACTGTTAAATTACCATTTATCAAGATTTCAGTTCTTTGAACACCCATCTCCTTTTTATCCTGCACTGAGTAGTTTCTATAAACATTACGTTACAGCTTTGTATGTTTTGCAACCATATTATGTATTGTAAAATATAATTTAACTGACAGCACAGAGATACGCATCAACCAACCTTTAATAGCAGACCTGGTGAGAGATTTTATTGATGATTAGTAATTAAGGTCTGTATTGGAAGGAAATGAGGATATCATGAAGCCAATGCATTTAGTTGGAATCTGGAGCTTAATATAAGGATTAATGGTTATGATAGATGTATATGTAGATAAGTAACCCGTTATGTTGTAGAACACAAAAGACGTGAAATGCAGAATGACTAAGGATGGTGTTAACAAAGAAAGATTGGAGCCAGTGGAGCAATAAGTGCATATATGAGAGAATGCTTGACCGGTGTTGTAAATGAGGGAAGTGGAAGATAACAGCTGAAGCCAGGAGTGCAATGCTGATGAAAGTGCTGGGTGGTGGAAAAAGGGCTGGTTGCAGTAATACTTTGATCAATTGTGTAAAAGCAAGCTGAAGCTAGGGGAACTCTGATAAGAAGTGAATGCTGGACAGAAACCAATGATCCCTCTGTTTGTTTTTCACTTGGGACTGTGCAAGGGCAAGGGACATGCTTGTGTGTTTGACATCTGATTTGCTTTCTCTGTTTCATATGTATATGTGAGAATTGGGGAGTTAGGAAAGGCAGTGTTTGTGGTGAGCATGGAGTTGATAGTTTTGCTGTAGTGGAGGGAGGTAGTGGAAACGTGGGTGCGGGAAGGAGTGAAATGCAAGGTAGGGAGAATTTCAGGTTGGGGAGGGTGTCCTGTCTGCTGGGAATGAGGAAATGTATGAGTGGGAATCGAAGGGAGGTGTAAGAGGAGGGCTTGCCTGTAAAAAAGGAAGGAGCCTTTTTCTTTCTCCCACTCCCTCTTCTCCGCTCAGTTGCTGTGATTCGAGTATCCTGTCCTCAACGTTCTCCTGTCTCCACGGCAACGCGGACTCGGGTACCACTTGCACTTGCAACAGTACAAGGAACAGGAAAGAGCATCTCGTCGCAGCTTAGTAATGGATCTGGAACTGGAGCTGTCCTCCTCCAGTCTGTACCCAGACTTCCTCTTCTCCAATGCGACACAGAACCTGTCCTATTCTCCTTCATCCAATGCCAGCCTCGGTGTCCCGGGCCAGGGATTCTCCAGGAATCATGCTTCCATTATCATGGCAGTGGCTATCACTGCCCTCTATTCTGTGGTGTGTGTAGTGGGGCTTCTCGGCAACATCTTGGTCATGTATGGGATTGTCAGGTATGGAGGTGTGTGAGGGTGGGAAGCGGTAGGGGGCGAGGGACTGGCATTAACTCTTCCTTAACCATACTAAAACAGGCTTCACTTTCTCTAAGATGGGATAGAAAACTCAAGCGGGAATTTAATACATATTTCATTATTTCATGTGCCCGGCAACTTAACTTGCACTAATAGCCAACTTCCTTCATGTATGCCGAAGACAGAGGGGGGTAATTTAGATAGATAGATGATGTTTGCTTGTTTTTCTTCTAATATACATGTGTTTTACCAGTATCCTTCTGCTCTGTTTGTACCTTTAGATATTATATATAATTACATGATGAGAATATGTGATGAAGTGTGGAAGAATTGTACCTTGTTATAAGAGTGTATATTACTATGTAGTTATGTGTGCATCCTTATATCAGCACTTAATGCACCTTGTTATAATTGACCGAAACTGGGTATATGTATACAATATTTATTCTGTGTGCCTTTATCATATTATATACATGAGTATATTAGTATACACACACACACACACACACACACACACACACACACACACACACACATCTCATATGCAGTCAGTCTCAGTGTTTCTAGGTGTACAGTAAATATGCCTTCACATAACTAAAGGTAGAAAAACTATATTTTGCAACCAGCACTTACAAATCAACCTTAGTTGTGTAAATTCAGGATGGTTTTATAACAATGTCAATCTTACATGGTGACTCTTCAGTGCCTCTAGTTACAGGTCTATCTATGTATGTTACCAAACACATTGCAGCTTCTTCTATTTCTCATGATAAGTTTAGCATATTCCTCATACATTTACATATATCTCTCTATAATTCCTACCTATAATTGTTCACTTCATATAACATCTCCCTAAAACTCCTCTCAATATCGCTGCTATAACTCCAATCTCTCCCCCTAACTCTCCATTTAACATCTCCCTATAACTTCTTCTATCTCTCTATATAACCTCTCCCTATAACTCCTCCTATCTCTCCATATAACCTCACTCTATAACTCCTCCTATCTGTCCATATAAATCCGCCTATCTCTCCATATAAACTCTCTCTATAATTCATCCTATCTCTCCATATAACCTCTCTCTGTAACTCCTTCTATCTCTCCATATAACCTCTCCCTATAACTCCTCCTATCTCTCCATCTAACCTCTCTCTATAACTCCTCCTATCTGTCTATATAACCTCTCCCTATAACTCCTCCTACCTCTCCATATAACCTCTTCCTATAACTCCTCCTATCTCCCCATATAACCTCTCCATATAACTCCATATAACCTCTCCCTATAACTCCTATCTCTCTATATAACCTTTCTCTATAACTCCTCCTATCTCTCTATATAACATCTCCCTATAACTCCTCCTATCTCTCCATATAACCTCTCCCTATAACTCCTCCTATCTCCCCATATAACCTCTCCATATAACTCCTATCTCTCTATATAACCTCTCCCTATAACTCCTCCTATCTCTCCATATAACCTCTCACTATAACACCTCCTATCTCTCCATATAACCTATCTCTGTAACACCTCCTATCTCTCCATATAACCTATCTCTGTAATCTCTCCATATAACCTCCTATCTCTCTATATAACCTCTCCCTATAACTCCTCCTATCTCTCCATATAACCTCTCCCTATAACTCCTCCTATCTCTCCATATAACCTCTCACTATAACACCTCCTATCTCTCCATATTACCTCTCCTTATATTTTATTTTGACACCTCCTTTATCTCCATATAATCGGCTCATTTTACTCACCATATCCACTAACATCTTGTATCTGTTTTTTTAAACATAAACACATAATATTATAGCAGTTAAGAACAGACCATTATAGTCCGCTGGGCAGATTCAAAATTAAATTTCTAACAGTTACTCTGCTATGTTCTAGTAATTAGACTGTTACTAGACTATGCTACATCCAGTTCTCTTTTATTTTATAAATAAATGTTATTTTCTTATTTTATGATTCATGTAGCACTGATACAGACTGTTCCACAAGTACAGCAATCTATTTGTTCAAGAAGATGTTCTGTTCACTATCGTCAAAGACATACTGTGATATGACTAGAAAGTGTTCCTACAAAATACTTTCATTTGTCAATAAATTCTCATCCCAAATCATGACCTAAACTCATTTTCCTTGATTGCGATGTATTGGATTCCCTATTTCAGACATCAGAACCTCTGAAGAATTCTATTGATACATTCACGATCCTTCCTGCAAGGTGACCTGAATAATATTCAACCTCTCACTATCTTGTTAAGGGACATAAGCTGATTTTCTGGAAACGAAAAGTCCTTAAAATGCATTACCTCTTCAACCTTGCAAACAACTTTATAGCCATTAAAATGTCATCACTCATCCACAATTATCAAGACCTATTTGTTATCTGGAAGGTAAATAATATTTTATTCCATTTTGCTCGTCAGCTCACTAGAAAATATAAAGATAACAGAATATTATTAGCTAGAATTCCCTGCTTATTCAACAAGTATGATGAATGGACACAATTGCAAAATGGTGGATCAGACATGAAATTGTGGTTATGTGAAAATGTATGCATGTTTCACTCCCAAACAATATATTTCTTATCTGTATATCTGTTGTACAAAAGTATAAGATGATTGGTTAATTATTCTTGTATTTTAATGTGCATAATACGTTATACATAATCCATATTTGTCTCACACTTTGCTGCTTATTATCCACAATCTTTTCCATGCTGTTGAAACAAATAGCAATATTATGGGACTCATACAGCTTAAAAGGAAACTATAGTCTCCAGAATCACAACAGCTTAATGTAGTGGTTCTGGTATCTAAACCCTGACCCTGCAGGCTTTTTATTGTAAACACTGCCTTTTCAGAGAAAAGGCAGTTTTTACATTGCTGCCTAGGAGCACCTCTTGTGGCAGTCACTCAGAATTCATTCAATGCATTTCTATAAGGAGATTCTGATTGGTCCAGCGTTTCCTATGAAAGCAAGACTGATGATCTCAGCCATGTAGGTGGGGCCAGTTGTGGCGTGACTGGCGTGGTCATTAAGAAAAGATTTTAAAACGTTTAGTCTCCACGTAGAGGGGGGCCAGATTCCTAAATACATGCTTGTATTCCTCACACTATAGTGTTTCTTCAGTATTTGTTCAAGGAGTGATTGCTGGTAAATTCACCAACTTCCTCCTTCTCCATGTGACTTTTTCCACCAAACATGTAGAACTTTCCTTGATAGATCTCTTGTCCAGGTACAATTTGACAGTTTGACTGTATCAGGATATTTGTGTATGTATGTAGGTTGCTATTTCCAAATGTGTAGCATGTGCTATGTGAATGCTGTAGGTGTTATGGGTCTAATGGTACTGTATATGTTGTGGGTGTCATGTGATGTATGCATTATCAGTGTCAAATAGGCACATATGTTAAAGGGACTCTCCAGCCAACCCGTTTTACTCACGTTGTTCCAGCGCCGTGAGCCTCGTGAAGCCGCGTCCCCTATTTCGTCAAAATGACGAAATAGGCGGGCGTGAGCCGGGAGGAATCAGACGCTTCCATTTGGAAACGTCATTGCTCCCTTGTGCGCATGCGCAGCTTCGCCGCACATATGTATATACTTCAGAGGGCAGCATTCATGCTGCCCTCTGAAGTCCTGAGCGCACTACCGCATGCTCAGCTCGCGGTCTTTGCCCGCCCCCTCTCCTCTGCTGACAGGCAGAAGAGAGAAGACGTGCACACAGTGCCTTCTCTCTCCTGCACACGTCAGACGAATTTTAATACGTCTGACGTGTACAAGGCCTTTTTAGGGCCCTGCATGATAGGAAGTCCCTCTGGTGGCTGTCTGAGTGACGGCCACTGGCGTATTCCTATCAATCAATGTAAACACATTAAGCTGTAGTTGTTCAGGTGACTATAGTGTCCCTTTAAAGGTGTCATGCATTCTCTATGTGTTATGGTTGCATACAGCTTCTATATTTATTATGGGTGTTATGCCTCTTCTGTAGGTTTTATGAGGGCTTTATTTATTTACTTTATTTAGGTGCTGTATGTCTCATGGGTTCAATTGGTGCTCTATTTTATGTGTAGGTGAATTATGGGTGAATATTGGGTACCAATACCAATGTGGCATTTGGTCTTAAGCTATGGTGTAGATGTTATAAAAATTAAACCATTTTTTATTTAAAAGAGGCGCAGTTTGAGAAATGTCACCATACTGAATGCAACAAAATTTTCCTTTGCATCTCTACTGGAGTGTTTAAGATGCTTCAGTGGACCTTCAGCTCCAGGCCAAATGTCCCATTACGCAATAACTTCAGTAAACAGTAGCTACAAAACCAATTTTATCTTTATCAGACATGCTGCTAAGCACTACTAGCCTTGCAGTAATAATTTCTGTCCCTCAGACCTAGCATTGCTTAAAATTAAGACATTCATAAATATTGTTCTACTAGGGTAGAATAAAAATCTGTTATGACCCATTATGCCTATCAGTGTGGAATTAGGCATCCTACATGAACCCAAGTGATCCAAGTGCTTTTTTCTGTATTCCCTTCTAATTATATGCACCTTGCTAAACTTTATTTCCCCTGATAAATTGCGGATGCCTCTATTCTCTCACCCATCATTTTGGTTTGATTGCAAATCTACATTTAATAATAGAGTTCATTGGTTTCCTGGATGTATTGGTCACTATGCACTGTATTTAGTTTCATTAGTAATTCTAGCGATCAAGATTTAAGTTTTGTTTCTCTACTTCTGCAGTATTTTGTTGCAAATGGCAAAAATGTCCTTTCATTGTGCCTGCACTTTAATAATGTATGAAGTGTCCACTCAGTTCTCCACTCTATTCCAACATTATTTAACATTCCAATCTTGTGCCTAGGTGTTTAATTTGCCTGGCAGTGATACAACTTTCTCTTTTATAAGTTTTCTTTTCTGCCTTTCATCTGTCTTGTAGAATTGTAGAAACTATAAAAACACCCTGGTACAGTAAATGCAGGTTATTCTCATATTCCTAGGACATATATGAAAGATCACCAGTGTCAAAAATTCATCCCCTTCATGGCATGTGTGTCAACAGGTCATGCTTCCAACATGATAGTTTGGTCCTCATGTCACAAGGTTGCAATTAGCCTTATCTGCAACAGTTTTCAAGGGGTATTTACACATGGAAGACATCTATGTGTTTGACATGATGTCAGAAGTCTTGCATAGCACTCTAATAATAAAACACACCGAGCAATGAGGCAAATCATCCCAAAATCAATTACAACCAAACCTTAATTACTTAACTCACGCAATCCAACATGAATAAAGGCTTTAAGCTGAAAGTTGATGCTGCAATCCAACCTAAATGATGGTGTTAATGTGATTAATGTATGTGTTTTCTTTGTAGTGGATTTAATACATAGATGCTACATCTCCTGCATAACAATGTAACACATTACCATTTTTGAGATACAGTATATTTACATTTAGCTAAAAACACACTTCTAGTGAGTGTTATTCAGACAGCAACTAAAGCCAGTTCAACTTTGTAGGGACTCCTAGAGCACTTTAGCTTTGCTGAATAATTTATGTTTGAAGAGTTTGTCCTAGAAACTGGCACTTTTATAATCTCACCCCTACACCCCCCAGTTGTCAATCAGAAGACAAGTCATGTTAACTTCCTGGTTTGGTTAGCTCAGTGGAGTTAAATCTGAGAGGCAGGCAATGCTTCTAAACACATGCCTTGCAAAGCATTCTCATTGAGCTGCATTGGGAAGTCTGTGATTGGACAGCCACAGAACATCTGGGCAGGGTAAGAAGGGGGGGGGGGGGGCTTGCAAATGCTTCTGGCAAGAGGACTGCAACGTTTGCCAGCTGATTTTAGATATATCCCAGAGAAAATGCATGCTTAAGTGCATGCATGTTTTCATTGGGATTATATCTACTAAACAGTGCTTTTTATTTTAATTTGGAACATGTAGTGTCCATTTAAGATATGCATAGCATTAAGATACGGAATGCAGCTAGTGCTGCTCAAAGAAAAACATTGCATTCAATGCTTCCTATAGAGAAGGCAGATTAGGCTACAGTAAAGAAACTCTCAAACTGAATTACATATAGATTATTTTTTCTTCTTTTATCAGAGGGGTGGCAGTAATTTAAACCTACTATGGTGCACACCCCACTTTCAAATAATGTTGTTTTTATTGTGTGTTTTTTTACAATTAGTGTGTTTCTTTATGGAATGTCACAATGTATATTTGCACAAAGGTTTGTGGAACAGGCAATTACATTTTCAGAATTATTCCCCAAATATTAATTTCCATAATTGTAAAGTGAATTTAAAGGGTATTTCAACGCTTTAGTCAAAATAACCAAACTGAAAACATAGCTGATTTTGACTTTTACCTAAATTCTATATGCACGTTGAGTTTACTTTTCCAAGCAGTTCATACTTTGGTGAACAAACCCTTTCAGATTTTTCCCCACAATCATACTTCATTGTTTTTTAAGCATGCAAAAAGTGCCAGCTCATGCACTTTTCTAAACTTCCTCAGACACTCCATTATTTAGTGTAGGATTTTCCTATGCCTTTTTCAATCAACAGCAAAAAACAAATGTGAGGAAAATCGAACTTGATTGACACATCTTTTTTTCAGCCTATGTAGCTATGTAACAATTTCTTGTCAATTTGGAAACCTTACTTTTAAAATCCCTCCCTTATTTTGTCTTGTAACGAAATCCCTTATTAAACAGACCATGTGAACCAGCTTGTTCGGTTATTAGGATGGTTACAGAGTGATTTCGTGCAAATAGCGAGAAAAACGAATGAACTACCAAACCACCCGACCTCCCACTGAGGTCGTGTGGCGCCTATTAACCACCCAGACTGTTGCGCTTAACCACAGACTAATTGGGGAATAGCTGGTGGTCCGCATTCGTTTACCGAACACGTGGCAATCGCCATTTTGGATTGTCGAATGCGCAGCGGTAAATGGCGAGGATTCCCTGGAACTAATTTCGGCTACTTATTTTGTTGAACACCGCTGCTACCTCTTCAAATCCTCGTTCGTACTGTGGAAAAACACACGAATGTCGGAGATACTACTTCATTCGTGCGTTGGAAGTATGCAAAAGTGACCGACCCCAGATAGCTACAGTATGTTACTTGTAGTCAGCTACAAGCACACGAACGGCCGGCGAAAGCCAAATTTCAGTCGACGTTTCTGAGAACTGTGTTTGTGGGATCTGAGGGCTATTCGCCTAGAATATGCACTCCGATCCAAGCTATCTGGGGATATGTGGGACTTAAAGTTTGTTATGTAAAATGAAAGTTATAGATTTTTATGCTGTTTTGCTAAAATAAGAAAAGCCATGTTTCTTTCTACCTGGAGATAATTAAGGCTCTTTTTACTCACTTAAGTTAATTATCTCCAGGATTGAAAAGAGGGAGTGATTTATGGAAAGGGGAGTGCTTGTGTTATAGCCACTGTGATTGGCTACTGTAATGCTTTTGTCCCAGTCTTCCATCTGGTCCACCAGGTGGGAGACCTGCATAAATACCGGGCGGGTAGCCCATAGTAAATCAGATCGTTTTACCCCTTCACGAAGTCTCGACTCATGTTTGGGGGATTGGGAGTTATAATCACTTCGTTTCAGCTGGATTTCGGGAGAAGCTGCAAGGATCATCGCTGCACGAATAGAAGGATCCTTTACATGTCTCTAAATGAATCCCACTCTATATAAAGTCTCTATGCCAATGAGACCTATCCCAATGACACAAATGTAAAATGTACAACCTTTTACCAGAGCTGTTACTGTCTCACCATATGACCTATAATTATTCCTCTGCTTAGCGCTCCATAACCTTTCTTTTTAGTTTCTCTGACATCTTCTAATAACTGTTTCATATCTGCCTTCTACACGGTCGTGTAGACTTTCTCAGCACCTCTACTATAGCCATAAACATGTGTTCAAGGTTCTGTCCATCTTACTCTACCTGGAATTGAGCCCCAGGAGAAATATGGCAGCTGGCCTTGTGCTGCAGTCTGTCACAGGACCCAGAGTTTCAATGATTTGTTTTTAGAGACAGACAGCCTGTTGGGATCCCATAATGCCAAAAAATCTTGGAGCTATTGAAATCTGATACATCTAAAAATATGTATCTAATATTTTGATCCTGTGCCAATTGTGTTACAAATAGACTAACTTGGGAACCATTGCTATATAATGATGGAACTGCTATGTAAAAATCATATTTAATATATAAAACATTTAGGGCCATCCATTCCGAGCATTTATATCAATCTGCTTGCTCTACTGTACATTTTTTCAATAGAGTTAATAAGCTGCAGCAGTTAAATAGACTCTGTGAGTGCATCCAACGACATTTGTTCTCTTGGCTTTAAGTGCTATATTTTTAATCAAAGCAAAACCACACTGGAATTGTTGCCATAAGCAATATCATTCTTGTTACATGGAAAGCTGTGAAAGGTGCTGTTCCATCTAGATAAGATATTAACCGCTTGCTTTATCATGCTTAGCAGTGGAAAGATAGCTCTGTCATTTTTATTCTTCAGTAGTTTAAAACACTTAAAACCAGATCCTTTTATGAAGGTGTTTTTGCAGCTATGGCAACAACGCCTTTTAACCTATCAATGCCCTCTTATTGAGCCCAACGACAGCAGGGTACATTTAATCAGACTCAGAAAAAATATAAAGGCTCCTGGGAAAACCCAGTGAGTTCCCAGATATGCCAGTGATTGGGTACAAATATGTATAGATCTATATAAATCTTGTACTTAAATATGCACAAGTCTCAATCTGAATATCCTTTTTTTTTTTTTTAACTAATCATGATTAGTGGAGTTGCTTTTTTCCTCCTTGTATTACTAATCATTGCTCTTTGTTCTTTAAAGAAAAAAACTGTAAAACGTTTGTTTTGAAGTCAAATTTTCATTTCATTTACAGGAAGCAGTTGGTGAAATCCAAATTAAGCTGATTATCCTTTGAAATAGAAAGATTTGATGACCTGAAACAAAAACAAAAAATCAATTTGCCATTTTAACTAACACTACTCTTGGCTATAGTGGCACAGACTCCTTAGTGATATTATTGGTCTTTATGTTTGCACATCACTTAAGAACTAGTGATAACAAAAATCACATTGATACGAAGTAAAATAGTTGCCACACTAAAGCAGCTCTGTCACCCTCCCTCTCCCCAGTGAGTATTTCATAAAGATAAAATATTGGAATTTCACTGCAATTGCATCTCAGTCAAGAGATAAATAAGACAAAGCATGTGCGAGAGTACAGCACTAAGGTTGGCTCCTGGTAGATGAAGTAAAAGGGGCTGAAAAGACGATGGCTGGATAAATTCAGGTAAGTAAACCTCATCTTTCCCTGTACCCCGCAGCCACCTGATTGCAAGCGGCACCATTGAAGACTTTGCAAAATAAGTAAACACCCCAAAAAGTGACAGAGCTGCTTTAACCAAACTTCTGGAATAAAAGGGAATCATGACATGTCACACTTGTCATGTGTCCTTAAGGGGTTAAATATAAATAAGTAATAACTTGAAATGATATAATTGAATAAAGCAATGTCAAAAAAATATACCTATTCATCTTTAAGTTTGCATTTTAATTAAGTTTAATAATTCAAATCTGCAGCAAGCATTGAAAGTTGCAATTTTATTATGTTGACTTTTCCTGGAAACAGAATCTCTGAAATATGGCATTTACAGTAAAAAAAAAAAATGCAATTAATCTATATGATTTACAGTAAAAATATTGCAATTAATCTATATGATTGAGCGCTAAAATAAAGTTATAAGTTCTGAACCAAAACAAAACCTTGATTTTGACAGGACAGAAATGGCTTTCATTTAATTTCCTGTGTATATCTTACACAACCTTACTTGTGAATAAAATTTTAAAAATCAGGAGGGGGTGGTGAGGGGGCATTTTTGTTTATAATAATGTTTACGCATCTAATGCCTCTTTATAAAAATAATTCAACATAGAGTCATATATTAGTCTTGGTTGTTACATGCCTAATATGCCTAAGATCGAAATACATTTTGTTAGTTAATGCTAACCCTATACCAACCATACCCCTTACCTAAAGCTTACAATAACGCTAATCATATTTTACCCATAACTTGTACCCTACAACCTTAAAACAGCATCAACCCAGACCAAGCATTAATCCTTACCTTACCCTAACACTCACACTACACTAACCCTACCTCTAAAGTTAACCATTATGCTACCCTAGCACTAACTCTGTAACCCTACACTATTCTTACCCCTAAATCTAACCTTAACCCTACCATAACCCAAAGCTCCAACACTAACCCTATGGAAACCATCTGCTAGTATCAATTATGATATTATGGGGTTCATAGTTAACACAGTATATAGTGGTCTGTGACCGCCATCTACTGCCTGTTTTCAAAAGTACAGTCACTGTAATTATGAATCAAGCCTTCTTACCAGCCAATTACACTGTGCAAAGCCCAGCACCAGTAACAATTGGCTGGGGATGGGCAGGAAGACCCAGCCAAGGTCAGACCTTTGGGAGTCTCACTCAAGCTCAGCCATAGCTTTATAAATTCATTTAAAGGGCTCTAAGCAGCGCTGACTTCTAGTGTTTATTAGAGTTCTTTGGTCTCTAAGAATATATAACCCTGATCACACTAAACTGCAGGGCACTGTATGTTGTCCTTTAGACATTTAAGCGCACTCTGTGTAGCACGGCAAGGTCCTAACATCGGGAAGGGGTAAAAAAATCTCTTTTATGTCCCAAGCTGCATTTCATTTTGTCTAACAAAAATGTTTAAAAGTGAATAAAGGACGATTCTCACTTTTTATTTCTTCTCTACAGATACACCAAAATGAAGACTGCCACCAACATTTATATATTCAATCTTGCATTGGCAGATGCCCTTGCCACCAGTACACTCCCCTTCCAGAGTGCCAAGTATCTCATGGAAACCTGGCCCTTTGGGGAGATCCTCTGTAAGATAGTTATTTCCATAGACTACTACAATATGTTCACCAGCATTTTCACCTTGACCATGATGAGTGTGGACCGTTATGTGGCTGTTTGTCATCCTGTTCGGGCACTGGACTTCCGTACACCTTCAAAAGCTAAAGCTATAAATGTATGCATCTGGATCCTATCATCAGTCATTGGTGTTCCAATTATGGTTATGGCAGTAACCAAAATTAACAAAGGTAAGTAGCAAGAATAGCTGGTAGTGTTATAATATGAAATGATCTGCTTGAGAAGTTGAGGAATGTACATGAAATTGTTTATGGATTCCCCAATATTGTGGTAAGACAACAAGAAACATATCTCTTCTATGCAGGCTTTATACTGTACCTGGTGAAATCAGCCATATGTAGTATTGTGCATGTTGTGCACTGGATGTTTGAGAAGATGGTTCCAATTTGTGTCGCCCTTTTTTCACCTTGCTCCGCCATCAGGCTACCATGCATGGCAGTTACATATTTCAGTGACGCTGACGACAGCAAACCTGAGCCTCTGCAGTTGCTTGGAGAACAAGACATCTTTCTTTTTTTGCCATCACTCAGTGATTTGTACTTAGTTGAATAGGGGGAACCCACCCAATGATAACTGGCCCCTTCCCCACAAGAAAAAAATACTGCACACACAGCAAAGATGCAGACTATATATATATATATATATATATATATATATATATATATACTGGCGGAACTACCGCAATCGCAGCTGCCTTGTGACGGTGGTGCCCACCGGCTACGTATGACTGCCGGGGCCACATTGAAGGGGCCCATCGGGTGTCCAATGCTGTTAGGGCCACCCGATGGCAATTAATTTCCAGGGTGCCCGGTCAGTGCTGCGGCGCTTTAACCCCTTAAGGACCAAACTTCTGGAATAAAAGGGAATCATGACATGTCACACAGGTCATGTGTCCTTAAGGGGTTAACAGCACGACATGGCCCCCTGTGGTGATGTCAGACGTTGTCAGACGTTGGGAGGAAGTGACAGCCCCGGTTACTCCTCCCAGCAATCACCGGGAGCCATGGGGAGGAGGAAGGAGAAGAGTTCCCATTCTGACTCCCATCAGGCTGAGCCACTGGACCCAAGGAAAGTCACCCTCCTGCACCTAAAAGGTAGGAAACAGGACGGTGACTAAAACATTCTGTATATGTGTTTGTATGTATGTGTGTGTGTGAGTGTTTGCGTGTGTCTGTATGAATGTTTCTCTGTTTGTGTGTATGTATATGAGTGTGTGTCTGTAAGTATATGTATGTCTGTCTGTGTGCCTGTGTGTGTGTCTGTATGTATGTTTGTGTATGTCTGTCTGTGTCTATGTATGTATGTGTCTTTGTATTTGTGTGTGTTTGTATGTGTGTGTCTATGTGTGTCTGTATTTGTGTGTGTTTGTCTGCAAGTGTGGGGGGGAACGTATGGGATGGGGAGGGTAAACGTATAGGGGTGGTGGCGGGGGCCCCAGGGCAATTTTCACACCGAAGCCCCGTGGTTTCTAGTTATGCCTCTGTATGTATGAATGTATGTATGTATGTATATGTATATATTCAAGTAGATATTGTAGTCGTATTAGTCCAATGATGCAGATGTAAAAAACAGATAAAATGTTATCTGTTTTTTACACACACACACATATATATATATATATATATATATATATATATTCAAATAAACCAGTATTGTAATTGTATTGTATACAAGGATCCAACTGTTGCACTTATGCAGTTTAGCTCTAGCAGTGAGTTGACAATCATGAGACTTGTAATATACCGAAAACTGACTAACTAGTAACACCAGTTCCCTAATCAATTGTAGGTGATCTTCTCACCAAGGTATCCTTGTGTTGGTGCACTGTCTGAGCTATTGATTCAGGCAGCTCTAACCGGGGGAAACAAAGGTATTAATGCTGATATATATTAGTAAAGTGCTTCTCATTAGTGTCTTCAGACAGCTCTGGGATGCTGTCCCTTTAGCCTCCTGGCTTACAATGAAAGGGTCTTTCCACACAGATGCTTTTCTGCAGCTCTGATTGCACCTTACTGGTACTATGACCGAATTCAGGAGTTGAACACTCTGGGTACTTGCAGTCTTTTCCACTCACTCAGGAACCACACCGCACAATGCTATATTTTCTGAACACCAGCACTTGAATCTCAGTGTACTGCTTGGATGTTGACAGTGCACTGTGCACATACTAAAAACAGAGGGCTTGCTCCTGGCCTGCTTACAAAGAGCAATGTGTCTCCTGTTTCTTTACTCCCCTCCTTAGCTTTGCCTCTCCCTCCTTTTTCAGAAGCTTCTCCGCTACACTGCTTCCTCTGATAGGCTGAGAGGCGTATATATAGCCCTGATTGACTGACACATGCCCAAAAGACAGAACAACCACTCCGAGTTACATGTACCGCCGCGTAAAATTTCTTCCTCCCAGTGACAGGACAAGAACATCCTAGCCAGCTTCAAAACAGTATAAGAGAACATGGTACATGATATAGGAACAATGATTTATAACAGCAAAGCACTTTTACGAAGAATTTAATTTAGGCGTGCAACATATTTATCATTTATTGTACTTGGATTGGGACTGAGAGTAGGGTGGTTCCCCATTGTTGTCATATGTCAGTTACTTCAGTGGCCTATATCTTCTACTTCAGCCCAGATTCCTCTGTGGGAGTCTGCCGACATCTTCAGCACACGGTATTCCCCCACACTATTAGGCAGGGGTCCAGTTGCTTGAGGCTCTGCTCTTCCCATAGAACTTTCAGAGGAACCTGGGCCAAAGTTAGAGTTTTTTTGGATTCAGAAAAGATGGAGAAGTAGCAGGGACAGAAGGCTGTTCTTGTTCATAGCCAGATTCAACAGCTCCTCTGCCAACAGAAACCTTATCCAGGGTCAACTGCTGCGGAGTGTCTCATACTGGGCTCTAATCTCCATCATTCTGACTATTATTAACTTTGTCATCTTCTGGAAAGGCCACAGGCAATAAGTGATTTTTATGCTTTAACTTTATCCAGCCTTCAGGTCCCTTGATTCTGTACATGGGAATCCCTGGGATCTTGGAGACGACTTCAAACAAAATGTCTTTCCAACGGTCAGCTAACTTGTGTTTTCTTTTTTGTCAGTAGGATTTTGTTTCCAGAATGAATGTCCTTATTATGTACCCTAGTATTATATCTTTGCTTGTTATTTTCATTCAGGTTGGCTGTGGCCTGCCCATAAGCCTTTTGTAAGTTATCCTTTAGTTGCCTGACATAGCAATCGTGAGGTCCATGGTTCATTCTATCTGAGGATACTCCCAGGTGGATGTCAATGGGCATACTTGCTTCTCTACCAAACATAAAAAAATATGGGAGAAGCCAGTGTCATGTCACGTACAATTGTATGCATGAACCATTGCTTATACATGCCAACTTCAGGACCTTTAGTCACAATCACATATTAAGCAGAGTTCTGTTGGACCTCTCAGGAAGAGCATCTCCCTCAGGGTGGTATAGGGTCATTCTAGACTTTTGATCTGAAGTAGTTTCTGTAAGATATTACTCCTCACCTTGCGGTATTTGCGCCCAGTGGCCGTGCGTCTGTATAACTGACTCTTGATACATGTTAATGGACGCCGGCCACTGCGGATCCACGCCAAATTGTACCCCAATGTCCTCCTAGGTTAATGACTAAGTCGGCTGGATCAATTAGTAATCCTGACATTACGACATGGCCATAGATCCTGTAGAATTGTGTAAGCACATAGCAGCTTGCGAGAGAAAGCTAGAGGAGAATGATCACCGTATGGATCAATTTGCACAGGCTTTCAGTACGCTTCTTACTAGCACAGCGCATCTGCAACCTGCGGCTTCTCCAACTGTGTCACCTCTGCCTAGTGTACCTCCACCTATAGTACATAAGGCACCTACTATCTCCCTATCTCCTTCCCCCGCATTTTGATGGAAATATTCAAGAATGCCGGGGATTACTGAATCAAATTATCATTTTGAGGCCTCACCAGGATCGTTTCCCTCGGATAGAGTTAAGATTGGTTTCCTAATGAATCAACTTAAAGGTAAAGCCTTTATATGGCTTGGGCCAGTCCGTTATGGGAGAGTAATAGGAGTATCGCACACAACTACCAGGAATTCCTTGCGGAATTCAAATTAACATTCGAACCATTAGGCAGTGAGGATGTCGCCTCCACTGCCCTAATGCATATAAAACAAGGGAACCAGTCTATCTCAGATTATGCCATATAATTTCACACCTTGGCATCTGAGGTAAACTGGACTAATAGTGGGTTGATCTCTGCTTTTACAAAAAGGATTGTCCGAAGCAATTCTGGACGAGATTGCTGCCAAAGATCTACCTAAAAAATAAATGAGTTTATAACATTTGTCATGGAAATTGATAATAGATTAAGAACCAGAGAAACTACCAGAAAAAAACTAAACGTATGGCTATGTCACTAGCACCTCGTTTTTCCAGACCTATTGTTCCTGATCCTCCTGTTCAGTCTGAACCCAAACCAATGCAGTTAGGGGTCACCAGACTGTCAGAGGCAGAAAGACAATATAGGAGAAAAGAGGGCCTATGTCTATACTGTGGTAGAAGAGGACATATGAGGAGTGCTTGTCCCATATGTCCAGAATACTTAAGGGGACAGGTCTTAGGTGTAATGGATATGTCCATTGGGAATAACAAAAATAGATTTCTTCTCGATAGTATGATTAAATGTAACAAGAAGAACTTTTCATGCAAGGCCCTGATGGATTCAGGTGCAGCAGGAATCTTCATTGATATACATTTTGTAAAAAAAAAATACTATACCTATCAAGGAGAGACTATCACCCTTTGCCGTTGAGGCTATTGATGGGAGACCACTCTCTCAACCCTTAATTACCCGCAAAACCTTACCCATTAGCATTTTCATTGGTGCCTTACACAAGGAAGACATAACTTTTCAAGTTATTGCTTCTCCTTCTTTCCCCATCATATTAGGCTTTCCTTGGATTACTAAGCACAATCCTCATATTGACTGGGCTAATGGGGAAATAATGGAATGGGGCAAGGATTGTACTGAGAGGTGTATGTTACACATTACCATAGAGTGGGCATCATTACATTATCCACTACTATGTCTCAAACCTCCGAAGTTCCCAAACAATAAGTTAAGGAGGTATTTAACAAAACTCAGACCAATATTCTACCTCCTCACAGAGCATATGACTGTTCCATAAACCCAAGGGAGCAGTATATGCGTTATCTCCACAGGAGAGTAGGATAATGGAGGAGTATATCAAAGACGCCCTTAGTAAGGGCCATGTACGTAAATCATAATCGCCTGCTGGTGCAGGATTCTTTTTTGTATCTAAAAAAAGATGGTGAGTTACGTCCATGCATTGACTACAGAGCGTTGAACAAAATCACCATTAAAAATGCCTACTCCATTCCCCTCATTTCCGAATTGTTTGACAGACTCCATGACTCTTCTGGTCATAGTCCTTTCTTCAGTAATAAAGGTCGTCATCCTACTGTACTACCACCTGTTTTCTCTGACACGGCTATACCTGCTTTGGATGATCACCTTGCTTCTGTCCATGATACGTGGACCAAGGTTCACTCCGCTCTGGAAACTGTGGCTGATCGTTTCAAGTATTATGCTGATAAATGGCGGGGTATGAAGTGGGTGAGAGGGTGTGGTTATCATCACGCAACGTTAAGCTGAAAATTAGCATGAACTTTGTCCCCAGATTTCTTGGTCCATTTCGTATCATTAGGAAAAGTAATCCTGCCTCTTATTGTCTGGCACTTCCTGCCTCTTTGCATATTCCCAACACCTTTCATGTCTCCTTGCTCAAACCACTTGTTTGCAATAGATATACTGTCCCAAGTGTTCCCCCTGCTCCATTGGTTGTTTCTGGACAAGAGGAGTATGAAGTCTCCTTCATAATTGATTCCAGGTTTTCTTGTGGCACCTTACAGTATTTGGTTGATTGGAGGTGGTATGGGCTTGCTGAACGTTCTTGGGTTCCAGCCTCTGACATCCATGCTGGCCGCAAAATTTGTTTTTTCCATGCCAAATTTCCTCTAAAGCCTGGCCAGCTCGTCCGGTGGGTGGTCTTCAGGTGGGGGGTAATGTAACATATTCCTCCTCACCTTGAGGTATTTACGCCCAGCGGCCGTGCATCTGTAAACTTGCCTCTTGCAACATGTTAATGGACGCCGACCGATGTGGATACCCAGCAAATTATACCCCCACATCCTCCCACGTTAATGACGACGTCACACGGGAGACGTGCGCACACTTTTTGGAGTCAAATGTAAAGCACTTATTTAAGCTCAAATTTTGCCCTGTCATGGTTTCCCTAGTGGTTGTCCGAGAGTGTGTTCCTGAGCGTTTATTTCTGTTTTTTTACTTTGGTTTCGTTTGACATTCCTGTATTCTGGTATCTCTGACTTCTGGCTTTCCCTTATCGTTGTGTCTCATTTTGTACCCCCGACCTCGGCAAGTATCCTGACATTGGTGCGTTAAGTTTGGCCATTTTAAGTCCTGGTAATATGTTACCTTTTAGTCCTAGGTGTGACACAATTCTACGTGCTGGATAATCCTGACAGTTTCAACATCTAATGAATTAACTTGCTTTCAAAATCTCTACCTTGATCAAAGTGCAGCCAATTTTGGAACCCATAATGCACAATTTTTGCCACAATTCTTTAGCAACAGTGGAATTCTTCTCATCTTTTGTTGGGTATGCTGGGGCATACTTGGTGCCAATGGAACAGCTTCTATGCAGAAGAAGACTAAATCCATGGTGTCCAGACTCTTCAAGGGGCCCATGGATCCAGCTCGAGTAGAAAAGAGTTCTTCTTCTGAAAGAATCTTCTGCACCTCCGGCAATACACCTCTGCTGACTTTCTCATTCCAGGCCAGTAGAAGCGATCTTGTATCAAACCAAACTTTTTTTCAACTCCTAAGTGACCATGGTGTTTGTGAAGAAACCTCAGGACCATCCCTTTGTATCAGCTGAGCAAGTCTACACACCGTAACTCTGAGAAATGTACCCACTCATGTTCCACTGCAGAGGGCTCTGAATCCTGGGCCAGGGATCGGAACCCACTCCTCTTTGCCCCTCCCTGCAGGCAATAGCGGTCGCCTAGATGGATCTCCAAATTAAGTACTGGATAATTATTCTAACTTCCAATCAAACTCTGATTAATGTAGGCCACTGGCTTAAGCCCTTCCGGATATGGTTGGTGTAGGATACCCCCAAGTCCTTCCAAACTCATGTGTAAAACAAATGGCTTTTTGGGATCAGCATAGGCTAGAGCAGACACCTTACTCATCTTCTGCTTAAAAAGCCAAAAGGCATCTTAACAACTCTGAAGTCTAGTTTTAGTAATCAGGCACTGAACCATTCTTCTTTCTTACCATGACTATGGGAGAGGCATACCCATTTCTTGAAGTATGTTCCTCACATCTTTAACATCTCAAGGTGCTATTTGTCGTGATCTCTTATGGAAGGGGGCAGGATCATTCAGCCTAATAATGCTGGGTACTTAACACAGTCAACATCCATATCTCTCGTAGAGAATACCCCTTCTCGGAATCTAAAGGTCTTCAACAGTCTTTCTGTCAAATCTGGGGATACAGATTGAACTTCAGCTCTTTGGGAAAGTTTTCTTCATAATTTACTGCCAGTGTTGTGAGAGGAGCTATCTCATCCAGAAGGTGGATAACTTCCATTTACTCACAATGATACAATAAATCAGTGATTGATCATTTGAAGACAGTCATTGGAATTACTTCAATCTTCTGACTTCTCCAATTTTTCACTTCAGGCAAAATAGTCCTACCTTAAAGGAAGTTGTCTTCTGGAAGGGTGTCAAGTTTAGGGATATGGAACCCAAAATTCAGTACTTGAATAATAAGCAGAAAATAGAAAACAAAGTACAAGGCAAACAAAATCTGATAGCGGCAAGGCAGAGGCAAAGTCAGGCAATCCAAAAAGTCAAAATCCGGGCAGCAGAGGTTCACAAATGATAGGCAGGTCAGAGGTCAGTGTAACGGAGCTCCGGTACTCCAACCAAGTACCTCCACCAAGTCTGCTTCCTTGTAGCTATCAGGGACCCTGAAACACTTCAGACCCAGACACCGAGGCTTGACTGGGATCACTTAGGGCCTTTTCCACCCTAGACCAAACACTAGACGACACATGGTGAAGGTTAAACAGCAACTCTTTAATGAATACAACACACATAGTATGAAGCCCCCAACAGCTTCATTTACATACAATAGGTTACATAGATTACTATAGTACAAGGAAGGGTGGGGTCAGACAATAGCAAGGGCTGATGGGAGATTGAGGAGGGACAGAACAGCTAGTTTAAACTGGTCTGGCAGTGTCCCTGGGACAACGCTCTGCTGGGGAAACAATAGGACAGGAAAAAGGGGAGAGGGGGTGATGCACAGACCAGCAATACATTTAACATACCCTGCACAAATAATAGGCACAATGTGACAAAACACAAAGGGAATTTGGGAGCTCACCCATAGTGTCTGTTCTCCATCCCCAGTGATGGTGACTACCGTCACATATCTTCCCCCCCAAAGGTAGACTAACCAGGTACCAGACTTCCAAAAAGTCCATCCATCCTGGCAGCCTTCTCGACAAAGTTCCACATAGTTTGTAAGTTTGTCCCGATCAGGAGCATGGAGCCCTCATAGCCGATCAGTCTGTGGAAGTCTGGTTTGGGCAGGCCAGACTGGGCTTCTCGGTTACCCTGTGCCTCTAATAAGCACAGGGTGACTTAGACATAAGAGGGGACTTGGAAGTGGTTTGCCATGGCCTCCTTCCCAAACTCAAACCTATCCCCATATGACTCCACTCTTAGGGGGCCACTGTGACCCCAATAGACCCCAACAGCAATTCTGGAACCCTGTATCACCCTGTAACACAAGCTCTGAATAGTTTCCAGCATATTTCTCCCCCTTCAGAAGGAGACCAATACAGGAGACCCCAGACGAGTTGACTCTGAAGTTAGTGACTACATCCAGATCATCAAGGCCATCACCGAAACGGCACCCCAAACAAATTGCCCATGGAAGAGCAGCACTTACCCAGCCGACCTCTGCATCTACTAAAGCATATACATGCGTGCCCACTGTCCTGTCTCCCCGGATCTCTCTCAGCCGCTGGAGGGAAGGCAGGGTGGCTGGGCCCCCTCTGACATGGGGTTGGGGATCGGAGCTCATTGTCCAGCCTTCCTGGGGATTACAGGTAGAGACCAGAGTCCCATCCATTTGTATTGGATAGAGATCCCCTAGTGCTTGTGGCAAAGGGCTGAGGTTAGCCGTGCTTTGCTCTGGGATCTGCTTTTCCGTGGGACCAGCATTGTCTGATGCCATAGGCTCGCGGGTTACCAGTGGGTTTGGGCAGAGGCAAGTGGAGCTCTGCCCCGATGCCAGCGCTTCAGCTGGGGGAGTTGCGCACTCCTTGAACTCCACCTTCACTAGAAGGATGATCTCCCTGCTTTTCAACTCCAGCGTCATTGCAAGTTGGGCAAAGGCCAGCAGCGCTCTGACTCAATGCCAGCACTTCAGCTGGAGTGGTGGTGTACTCCTCAAGTTCCACCATCACCGAAAGGCTGTCCTCCCTGCTCTTGACTTCCGGCGTTGCTGCAAGTTGGGGCTCTTCTGCTGGGGTTACACTTTGCCACTGGGGAAAAAGACCAACTGCCTCCTCTCCCTGTAACGCAAACTTCAGCTGGGGAGGGAGATCGACTACCTCTATTCCCAGTAACTCAATCTGCTGCTGAAGGGGGAGACCGACAACCTCTACCTCTGCTGCATGAGTTTCCATGCCAGGAGTTGGGAGATCTGGGATGGCTGTCCAGTATCCCCGTGATTCAGGTGTGGAGAATACGGTTCCTTCCACATCTACCTGACCAACATATTCAGATGTAAGGTCTATTAAATCCCCAGTCTCTGGTACCTGCTGATGTGCAGAGTCAAACAATTGCTTGTAATCCAGTTCAAGCTCCCACTCCATGGTGGCCAGGTGGGTCAAATCAGGTTCCAGGTCAGTTGCTTCTGAGAGATCCAGTAGGTGTTCCCTATTTTCCCTAATGTCATAAAGCCGGGACCTCTCAGGACTTCCCAATTCAATTTTATCCTCAAAGGCCTCCCACAATAGGCCAGGGCCATCATAGTCCTCACCCTCTGGAGGGTCATCATCTGCTAGAAATGGGTACTGCTGGACTGCATACCACCTTAAGGCCCGGGAAGAATCATCCAGCCACAATTCTTTCTGTACCAGCTCCTCTAATTTAAACACCCATTCCGCCAGGGGCTGCTCTCCCAAGAATTGCATCCGCAAATCAACTTGATCCCAAAATCGTTGCATAACGGTTGGGAGAGATTCTCCCCGAAGACAACTAACCTCCTCAAGGACATTGTTCCAGAGATCCCGACGGATCGAGTACCGCCGGTCCAGTTCACCCTTTGTTAACAAAGGGCCATCGTACTGGGACAGAGTTGCTTGTAGCCTCCGCTGTAACTCCTCCTCAGATGGGGGTGCTGCACGGGTGCTAGCTCTATCCATTTACATGAATTCCAGAAAGCACAGTGGGATCCCAGTAGAGGCGCCTGTGTCCAGGGACATTTCTCCACCTGCTAGGAAGCTATCCCACCGCTCCAACCGAGTACCTCCGCCAAATCTGCTTCCTTGTAGCTATCAGGGACCCTGAAACACTTCAGACCCAGACGCTGAGGCTTGACTGGGATCACTTAGGGCCTTTTCCACCCTGGACCAAACACCAGACGACACATGGTGAAGGTTAAACAGCAACTCTTTAATAAATACAACACACATAGTTTTAAGCCTCCAACAGCTCATTTACATACAATAGGTTACATAGATTACTATAGTACAAGGAAGGGTGGGGTCAGACAATAGCAAGGGCTGATGGGAGATTGAGAAGGGACAGAACAGCTAGTTTAAACTGGTCTGGCAGTGTCCCTGGGACAACGCCCTGCTGGGGAAACAATAGGACAGGAAAAAGGGGGGAGGGGGAGACCAGCAATACATTCAACATACCCTGCACAAATAATAGGCACAATGTGACAAAACACAAAGGGAATTTGGGAGCTCACCCATAGTGTCTGTTCTCCATCCCCAGTGATGGTGACTACCGTCACAGTCAGGTAAATCCAGGAGAGCAGGTAGAGTACAGCAGCAGGGAAACAGGTTTTAAGCACAGAACAACTGAGCCATGAAAGCTCAGCTGTTCTGAGTTGAAATAGGGTGCCAAAGGAAAGGCACACCTATTCTGGCATACCTCCATAACACCATATTGGTGTATTGGGCTGTCAGTCAACGGTGTTGCCATGGAGAGAGATAGTATACAAATGTGTTCCAGCCACACCTACAGGGTTGTCCTGTGGCATGGAACGGTCGTGCATGTCTTCCAATCATCTATGATTGCCTGGGAGACGTGACGCAATCTGTGAGACGTGACGCAATCTAGATTCAGAGGTTGTGGCTTGCCCCTTGTATTCACGCGTGTGTGTATTTGGGTGGCCGCAGCTCGGATAGCAGCAATAGAATAGAGGTAAGTCGTGACAAAGGGATTCAAGGCAAAACTGACAGTCCCCAGGAAATATACCTTCTCCCAAGACTGCAAAAGCTGTGATAGACTTCATATATCCATGCTTAAGGAAAACAGGTTGGGGACCTGAATAATGAAACTGTCTAGTTTGGTTCTCAAGAGCCAATTTATGACATTCTTGCACCATCCATCCTTTTCAAAGAGACATCTCCCACTTCCTTGGAACACACCTTGCACCATTTGATCAGAACACACCTTGCACCTTTTAGTCTTTGTCCCAAATATAAGTGGAATATCAGGCCAACCTGGGTTTGGACACACTAAGGCTTCTATATTCATAGGACACGCTATTCCAGTGTCCAGCTGAGAAATACAATCTGCACCCTAAAGATCCCTTCTACGGGTTTAGCCTAAGAATAAACGTCTACAGTGCCCAATCCCAAACTTCCAGGTGATTAGGTTACAAAGCCTACTAATAATTCCATTAGGAATTATTACACAGGTGCCTTCATTTGTACCCCTTTCATTTGTAACTGCTCTCACAGGTGCCATCATTTGTAGCCCCTTTTTTCACCTTGCTTCTCCATCAGGCTGCCAAATGTGGCAGTTGCATATCTTTATTTTTACAGTGCCTCCACTCAGTGATTTGTACTAAGTTGAATACAGGGAACCCAAAATGTTGGTGAATGTGTGTGTCTGCTAGTGACTGTGTCTGTTAGTGAGTGTGTATGCCTGTTAGCTAGTGTATGCTTGTCTGTCAGTGAATGTGTGTGTGTGTGTATTTAGAAGGCGGAGCAGGGGGAAGGGTGGGGTGGCACGGGGTAGCCCGCGGCGGGGGCGCCTGAGTTTTGTCATGCCTAGGGCAGCACAAAACCAGGATACACCACTGCTCTCGCCCCAACTCTGTCTCTGGCATACTCACCCTGTCACAATCATCCCCTGAAGACAATCATCCACTCATCATACACACAGTTGTAAAACATAGCTGTGACATAAACTCAGTGCACAAAGGACACTCAGACACACACTCTCAGGCACACACATAGGTAGACAATGCAAGACACACTCAGAAATACACATTTTAATGTTTCCAATAACCCCTTTACACCAGCACTTATCCATACACAACCGCTAGGCTATGCAACAATAGCCCGCAATCGTGTATAAACCAGGGCTTGACAGATTTGCTTGAAATCTACGAGCCAGCTAAAATATTTAAACGTCAGAAAAACAATTCTTAAAGAGACACTATAGCAGTGGTGGCGAATCTTTTGCCCAAACCGCAATACATGCCAACTTTTGATTTTCTCAAAGTGCCAACACGGCAATTAAACCTGAATACTGAGGTTTAAGTTTAGAAAACACAACTCGTACAGTTGTCCAAACTAATTAACAACTTTTGTTTTAAAAGAAGAACACAACAGAGTTCAATGATACAAATTTTAAATAATTATAAAATAGATAAAATTAAGCTTATATTTATTAGTATCTCCAACAAATACAATACATACACACAGACTGCTGAACACATTCACACAGTCCACTGAATACACACAGTCCACTGAATACACACAGTCCGCTGAGTACACACAGACTGCTGAACACATACACTGCTGAATACACACACACAGACTGCTGAGTACACACACAGAGATTCTGCTGAATACATACACACAGACTGCTGAATACACACACACACATACAGACTGCTGAATACATACACTGCTGAATACACACACACATACTGCTGAATACACACACACAGACTGCTGAATTCACAGGCGCGGCAACGCTTCACACAGATTGCTCGTGGGAGGACAGGAGAGCTGCTTCCTAGAGCCCTCCCCCTGCCTCCGGACACGGTAGCAGAGTAGGCGCCTGCCGTTTTGGGCAGGCAGGTGCCTGCTCTGCATTGATGCAGGTAGCCAGCGGCCTCCTCTCCCGGTGACCTATGGCCACGTGCCCACAGAGATGGCCATATCCTGTCCCTGCATGCTTTTCAATGTAAACGCTGACTTTTCACCTCTAGAAGTGCTTCCTGGGTCAGTTAATTCTCCCCATAGGGATGCATTGATTCAATGCGCCTCTATGGGGATAATTTGATTGCGCAACATGGTGTTTTTCTGCGCATACACAATAGTTTCCAAATGTTTTCGTATGGGGAAGCATTGAATTGGCTGAGATCGTCACGATTGTTGAACTCAGCCATGGTAAGCATAACCAGCATGGTGTGGAAAAAAGGTGAGTAAAACACCTTTCCCATATGATTTGGAGGGGGCAGGTCACCTAAACAACAACACTCACTGACAGACAGACACACACACAAACACTGATTTGATACACACTCACTGACAGACACACACAGACACTGATTTGATACACACTCCCTGACACACACACTGATTTGACACACACACACTGACAGAGACACACTGAGACACTTACTCACTGACAGACAGACATACACTCACTGATAGACATAGACACACTCACTGACACACACACACTCACTCACAAATCATTACTTTTTTATTCTAATTTAAATCCACCCAGCTTTCCAACCTTAAGGCTCCCGGCATCACTGGAGGACGCGCAAGGGAGCAGAGCAAGGAGATTACAGCTACCTCGTGATGCACGCTGTCATCCATGCACGTCTCCCTCAGCTCTCCAAAGGCCACATGCCCGCCTCAGCCCTGCATGAGCTGACTGCCCGCCTCCAATCTCAGCCAGCCAGTCACTTCAGGGGCTGAACGGGCTCACAAATCACAGGGATTTGTTGATCTCTGGTATAAACAATAAGCATAATTGCAAATTTAAATTTGTTTATTGCAAATGATGCCATAACTATAGTGAGAGCTCACGACACAGCGGCACAGTGAGCCGCAACAATGCAAGCCTCTGAACGATGAATACAGAGACTAGCTCTCTGTATCTAACGCCGCAAGCCTGCCCTTTAATATATATACAGCTTCATATACACACTTGTCAACCCCTATTTTCTTTTTCACTAATGGTATTAGTGGGGACTTCATGTTTGAGTTTCGCCTAAAGCCTTGCAAAGTCTAGAACCGCCACTGCATCCAAGCTTATATTTGAAATAGTTGTCTTAAATTATGAAAACAGAATTTCTTTCATAAAAATAAGCATCCCAGATTGACAGCAAAAAACACGGGTGACCTAATTTCAAGACAGAACAAGGTAATGTAACCAGACTTCCCAGAACAAAAGGGCATATGCATTAGGGAGCTAAGGAATGTTTACATATGACTCAATTGAAAAATCATATGACTCGATCTCTGACCCTAGAAGGTATCAAACTATGATATATACTCCTGCAGTGCAGTAATATATAATAATATAATTGAGAGGACTGTTTTGCTAAAATGAGAACACATATTTGTCTTTCTATTTTAACAGCTGGAACAATCACCTGTACACTTCAATTTCCTCGTCCTGACTGGTACTGGGATACAGTTACAAAAATTTGTGTCTTCATCTTTGCCTTTGTGGTGCCAGTCCTCGTAATTACAGTGTGCTATGGTCTAATGATTCTGCGCCTTCGCAGCGTTCGACTTCTCTCTGGCTCCAGGGAAAAAGATCGTAATCTGCGTCGAATCACCCGCATGGTACTAGTTGTGGTAGCTGCATTCATTATTTGCTGGACACCCATCCATATTTTTGTCATTGTGTGGACCATGGTAGATATTGACAAGAGAAATCCATATGTTGTAGCAAGCTGGCATTTCTGCATTGCATTAGGCTACACCAACAGCAGCCTTAACCCTGTCCTATATGCTTTTCTGGATGAAAATTTCAAGAGATGCTTCCGGGAGTTCTGTCTTCCTTTCCGTTCCCACTCAGAACAAAGCAGTTTCAGCCGAGCTCGCAACACCACTAGAGACCAAGTTTCCACCTGCGCTCAGTCACATGCTCCAGACAAGCCAGTATGACTAGACATGGATGGCCGAAGGAGAGGATCCCGAGGCCGCAGAGGAGAAGATCTGAACTCTGAAGTCACTCAGGTTACTAGTACCACTGAATTTTAGCAGGAAGACTCTTTGTACATTCAGAACTGAGATCATGTTGTCCATTCTTAAAATATTTTCTCAAATGCCAGTCCCTTTCTCTCTACAAACATGCTATTTAGTCTTAAGGTATGGTATTTATCCTTACACCTGTTTATTAATAACTCCATTCAAATGAAAATTCAACTGACAATCAAAACATCTACCATCCAGTGTGTTTGGATGTTATCTGACTTAAAAAAATCAAGCAGTTCTTAGATCTTTTTACTTAAGGAATATTTATGAGTATGGGACATTTGTCTTCAATAGAGACCAATATATTGTTCTAGATATCTGGATACTTTTTTTTCTTGAAACTTTTTGATCTAATCTCTATTTCAATGCCTAGTTGATGGTTACCTAGAGTTTCAAGTTACTGATTCCTCTTCAGTTGTTAGTCCAAAAAGCCAGCACATAATTTTCTTGAAGTCTTGAACAGTTTCTGAACTCGAGAATTTTAGGGATGTGAAACAAGACCTGTATTGAGGAAATGTTGAACTTTGCCTTTCAAATGACTGAACAATTTCAAGTTTCCATCACATTTGAATTGTATTAACAGACTATAAATGAATAAAATAGACTTTGGTTGGAAGGAGTGTTTAAACAACTGAGACCATCCATATTCCGAAATGTGCCAACATAATTTAACATAAATTTTGGATCTGCTTATTAAAGAAACCTATGATTTTTGACTTTTTTAGTAGGGCGAATAACATCATAAATCCTACAAGAACTTTGAACTTCGAAAGCTTTTTTTCAGAACAGTAGCAATAAATGACTGAAAAAAATGAGCTTATAATCAGTTTATAAATAAGTACATTTGGGAAACGTGTATACTTATGTCACATATGAAATGATACAGAGTCTTCACATTTTTTATAGTTGGAGCAGTGAAATTAATTTTGAATATTTAGAAGAAGAACAACATGGACCTGATCAGCACTGAAGTGGCTTATGCTTTTTAGTTGTACAGGGTTTGCTGGTTTTCAGCAGTACATTTCTTGAGTTGGCTTTGTAATCTATTTCAATCTGTAACATACATTTGAAAGAATACACAAAGTGATTTCCGGATATCACATAAAACCAGCTGTAGACTGATAAACAACAATCACTTTGGTATTCTGATAAGGGCAGGGACAATCACTGAAAACTAAACATGTGCAGTGTGTCCATTAAATTAATATTTTCAGCATACCGTGAAAATATAGTGATAAAATGCACAGTATTTGTTTCTATTGCTCAGTCATGACTTCAAGTTGATTTAGAAATGTAGTGATGATCAAAAAATAATAATCAAAAAAGCAGGGATATTTCATTGTTGTGAAAGGGATTAAATTACATGAATTTATATAGGGGTGGGCAAAGTATGTTGAGACTGTAATATATTTGTTTTTAAATATATATTTATATATATATACATATATATAGGTGTGCAAACACATATTTATTATACAATTTTTTTGTAATGATGATATATCTTAAAATTTAGAGAATTAATTTTTTTTTACCTTAATTCATTGTTATATAATAAATGAATTAAATAATAGAGGGCCTAATAGATGGAGTGAAAATTCACTTAACAGTGAATTGTGGTGAATTAACAACCAAATTGTAGTATTTATGGCTGGATTATCTTTTTAGATTAAGGCTTTACACTACTTATTCAATAACAAACACTTAATTAAAGTCTATATTACAACTGCCCTTCACTAAGGAGAGAAAACCATTACTCTGCCCAAATAATCCAGCTATTTTCTTAAATCAGGCAGAGTTGGAAAACTTATGAACTTTTTATCTACATTTTGCAGTTTGGCTGTCAATTCACACACAGAATAATGAGCACAGGTACATATTGACAAAGGTGATATGTCTGGAGTCCCATAACGCCACCCTTCTATCAGATTTTTTAAATGGTTTAACGCTAAATAAGAATCCCCAGCAGTCTGTCTCCCCTGTGTGTCTTGGGCTTTAGCCCGAGCAGCAGTGAGTGGCAGTGACTGGCTCAGAGTGTCAGCTGAATGCTTTCAGCCTATTACAGATACTTACTGCTGAAATGAATTGATATGGCGAGTCTCTGCCTTAGCTATAACTCAATTGGGGGCCAGGCTGAGGATAACTAGAGGCCCTCATTCAGTATTAAACAATTAGAAAAATAGTTTAACACTGATTGGAGAGATGGCTCCAGGGCACTCCAGGCACTATAAACAATTCAAATGTTTTTTTTAGTGCATGGGGTTTCCCTTTAATTTATAGCACCAATAACAATAGTGATTGGCACAAGATAACCCTCAAGGATGAGCACATATATTTTTTAGAGGACACTGTAGGGTGGCCTTTACGGCCCATTGGCAGGGCAGATTAAGAGCACACTGGGCCTGGTGCTGACAAATATGATGACAAATATGATGGGAATAATTACGGAATCTTATCGACCAAAAACACGTCGTACCTCCCAAGCTCATGTATCTGATGGAGAGGGTGCTGGAGGGAAACTCATAGGATGCAGCTATAGGAAAACACACACTCTATGCTAATCTCTCTCTAAATTTTTCATCTTTCAAGTAAATCCATAACCCCTAACAGCAGTGTCCAGTGAAGCAGGAAGCCAATGGGTGGGGTAAAAGGGTGGGCCACTGGTGCGAATCACGTGACCAGACCTGCCAAAAGGGGAGAACATGCCCAAAAAGGGGGCATGTCTGTCCAAAGAATTTGAAGGACAGCCTGGCATGAATGCATGTCAGGCTGCCCGCCAATCCTGCAGGCTGTCCAACTAAGGGCATACTATGCAGGCAGCACCATGAGCTTGACATAAATGCATCTAATGATGCGTTCACTCCGTGCTTTCTAAGGACTGTCCCCTAGCACTTGCTAGTCCACTTGTCTCCTTGCCTTCTTACTAGCAGGCAGAAGTTCCTGGTATATAGTCTGAGACAGAGAAAAGGTGTTTGTAGTGAGTGTAGAAGAAAGGGGACATGCCACAGTGTTAGAGAGACCAGTGTCTGCATTACCTAAACTAATTTTATTGTCAGCTAGTCCACACAAGTTTTGTTTCCATACATCCCTCTTAAGCTTCCAAACTTAAAGGGACACTATAGTCACCAGAACAACTACAGCTTATTGTATTTGTTCTGGTAAGTAGAATCATTCCATTCAGGCCTTTTGCAGTAAACACTGTCTTTTCAGAGAAAATAACTCCACTGGCCACTCCTTAGATGGCTGCTAGAGGTGCTTCCTGGGGCAGTACTGCCTAGTGTGCAGCACTGCCATTCAGTGTCTCCACCCTCTGCATGCAGACACTGAACTTTCCTCATAGAGATACATTGATTCAAGTTATCTTTATGAGGAGATGTTGATTGGCCAGGGCTATGTTGGACTTGTGCTGGCTCTGCCTCTGATCTGCCTAGTTGCCAGTCTCAGCCAATCCTATGGGGAAGTATTGTAATTTGCTCAGACCACCACTTCTGATGTCAGCAGACAGTCAATTCAGAGGCAGAGCCAGCAGCTGCAGACTTGAATACAAGTTATATTTTACTATACTTAGGGAGGCAAGAAGGGGCCAGGGTGTTGGTTTTAACATAATAGGGTCAGAAATACATAATTGTGTTCCTGACCCTATAGTGCTCCTTTAAGCAAGAGTATGTGAAGAGTAGTTAGGGTTGCCACCTTTCTTGTTAAAAAATACCAGGCTTAATCATTTGTATAATCACAAGGAGTGACATCAGAGAAAATTCTGTAAAATCACCAACAAACTACTCACAGTTTGATTCTGCTGTATAGATGGATTGCGCCCAATGTCTCAGTCTCGCAAGTCACCCAGTGTCTCAGTGTCCCTATGTATCACAGTGTCAGTGTCCCCATGTCGCCCAGTCCCCTTGTCTCCCAGTGTCTCGGTGTCCCCATTTCTCCCAGTGTCCCCATTTCTCCCAGTGTCCCAATGTCTCAGTGTGTCCCCATGTCACTAGGATACTGGGGACACAGAGACATGGGGACACTGAGAGACCCGGGGACACTGAGACATGGGGACACTGGGAGACATGGGGACACTGAGACATTTAGGGAAACTGGGAGAAATGGGGACACAGACACTAGGGACACAGACACTGGGAGACATGGGGACACTGAAACATTTGGGGACACTAAGACACTAGGGACACAGAGACATGGGAACACAGACACTGGGAGACATGGGGACACTGGCTGGGAGACAGACACTTAGGGACACTGGGAGACATGGGGACAGTTGTGGGCATAGACATGGGGACACTGGGACATATAGGGACACTGGGAGACATGGGGACACTAGGCACACTGAGACACTAGGAACACAGACACTGGGAGACATAGGGACACTGAAACATTTGGGGACACTAAGGCACTAGGGACACAGAGACATGGGGACACTGGGAGACTTGGGGACAGTTGTGGACATAGACATGGGGACACTGGGACACATGGGGACACTAGGCACACTGAGAGACAAGGGACACAGACACTGGGAGACTTAGGGACACAGACACTAGCAACACTGGATGAGGGACATGAGGACACTGGGAGAAATGGGGACATAGTGTCTCCGTGTCCCAATGTCTCAGTGTCTCCCAATGTCTCACAACATCCCCATGTGTCTCAGCATCCCCATGTGTCTCAGTGTCCCCATGTTTTCCAGTGTCCCCAAGTGTCTCAGTGTTTCCAGGTCTCCCAGTGTCTGTGTCCCCATGTGTCCTAGTGTCTCAGTGTCCCCTAATGTCTGTGCCTCAGTGTCCCCATATGTCTCCTAGTGTCTGTGTCCCCTAGTGTCTCAGTGTCCACATGTGTCGCCTAGTGTCTCAGTGTCCCCATGTGTCCCCCAGTGTCCCCATCCCTCACTTACCTGAGCTGTAGAGCTGCTGTCTGGACTCTGTGCTGTGTTGCTGCTCCCCAACAGATCAGTAAGTAGTAGAGAGAGGCAGGGATATGCTGTAACTTCCTATCCCTGCCTCTCTCCACACACAGTGACCCCTACTGGCAGGTGCAGGTATTGCAGAGTAATCTCCATTTATTCTGAGAAAAATACCTGCATTTGTATTGCCGGTATTACTGCAACCTCAAATACCGACAGTGCCAGTAAAATACCAGTCAGGTGGCAAACCTAAGAGTAGTGTGTTAAAAAAAAAAAAAAAATTCCATGGGCCTGGGCCTGGAGCTGGAGCTCCATCAGCCCCTATGTTAATCGGTACTTATGTAAATAACAGATTTTCCAAAAATGATAATATACCTTTAAAAAAAAAATCTAATACATACCTATTACATGTGTCTGTCCTGTAGGTTTTGCTCAAATTCTGACCTGTCTTTTGTGGCATCTGGCACACTTAGAAAGTGTCTGGATACTTCATGCCAATTCCTGTTACACTGTTACATCAATAAGATAAGTAGTAGTGTTTCCCTTGAAAATGAAAGTCACTTGCAAATAAACAAAAAAGCGATTATGGCTATAATCGAAGTGAGAAGACAGCCACAGCTGTACTGTTTGCCCAAGAGTAGTTTCTATTAATTTCCATGTAAAAAAAAATTACAAATGTGTCCTGCAGTACGAAAGATTTTTTTGTTTTTACTATGGGTCTGTTTAAAAAAGTTGGCAATTGACTTGTATAATGGGTGAAATAAGTGACTTAGAGAGAAGTCTCCAAATTGATTTGGCATTAAGTTTGGTAGGACTTATAAATTACCCAATATGGGCTTCAATTCAATATGTTTCCACACCATTCAAGATTATTAATAAACATACAAAATTATTTATCTACAAAATTCCTATATACTTTAATGGTTACTTAATTTTCCATTGATTTGTCTATGAAAGTAACCATTAAAGTGTATGGGATCTTTTTGGATATAAATCATTTGGAAAGTTAATTCAGTTGAGGCCATTATAGTTTCCAGTATAAGTCAGCATTCATCAAGTTTTGTTTTGGTGGTGAAAGGTTTAATTAAACTGATGTAGTACTTTAAGGCAGCAACATACTGGGTTCTTCCGATGTCTCAACTCGAATAACCAATTAGTGAAAAAGCCACTTGGCAGTACTGAGCTTCCAGCAGGCATACAATCAAAACATTAACAATAACATAATCATTGAGAAAAATGTCATCCAACATTTGCCTGTGATGGGGAGACCTGAAATAATGAGATAGGGTTTCCCAGGTTTTTTTTTTATTAATCAGAGAGAGTAAAATGGTAATTTACTGTTCACCTAGTGTGCATGTAACTAAGGGTTAGTAGTACAATTTAGTGGAGGGTTCCCAGGGACTCGTTATCCATGGTGACTGATGAAGACAGCATTACACAGATCGTCAGGATCACCCATCTGCTCCAATGGACCAGCCTCTACTGGGAGTCTGTCTCCTTTGTCATTCCTTATCCCATGTGCCAGAGATGAGTTATTACCATCCCTACTCTTTCTCCATTAGATAATGTCTGCTATAACTTAATGAATTTGGGATCAATTTAATTTCAACAAATAAACTGTAAAACAAAATGTGTTCCTTGTATAGGCTAAATAACCATGAGTCATTGTCTTCTGTTCATGGAATAAGTCTAAAAAGAAGAAAAAAAAAAAAAAACCTGAAATAACCCACATGTTATACAGATAAATTGAAAGCCTAAGTAAAAAATAAATATAAACAACTCGACTGTAAAAAGAACAGCCCCTTGTGTTATTAGTGTAGGAGCTGATCTGACTAATAATGTTGATACTGAAAGATTGTGCGTATGTGTGTCATTATTAAACTCTATTAATCATCATAAATGTTCACAGTGTTGTATTTTAACAGGCAACCATGTGATCCCAATGTATCCTTATAAATATTTGCAAAAAAAACCTTAAAAGTATATATAGTTGTATATGCTTTTATTAAATATCTTTAATAAATATTATTTTATCTATGTGTACTTTTATTTACAAGGATGTGAACATGCATTGGACAAGTTGATGGTAACATAACCCACACTACTAAGGGGGCTTCAAATCTCATTGTACCCTCCTTTAAGCTCATATAACCCATTCCATTGTCTTTTCCTTTCATCTCATATCCACCACCATTTACAGTACAGTTCAGCAACATGAAGGATGTACGGCAATTCTACTATGAGCTTTAAACGTTTACTGAACTCAAACATTATTCGTAACTGGTCTATGGTAAGATTTAGTGTGTATTGTTCTATTGGAAGGTTATTAAGAATTCTTGATACTTAAAGTGACTGTCACATCCTGTTCCTCGATGTGGATCATTCTGGCAATGGCTTCTGGTATCCAGTACTCTTTTTGCTGTCCTTGCTTGGTTTTTCTGGTTTTCTGGTCTATGTCTGGTTTTCTTTGTTGCTGGGTTTCTGGGTTCATTCTTATAGTCCGTCCCTGGATTCACAGTCTCTTGGATTCACTTAAATATTTGTTTTATGTTGCCACACCCGTTTGTTTTCCACTTTCCTTTTGTTTCAGCCTGGACCTGCAGCAGTGTTTCTAGTCTCTGCCCTTTCTTGCAGGTAAGTGCTATATTGTGGTTTAGTATGGTTGGTTTAGCATGAATTAGGCAGTGTAGGACCTGCCAGATATGGGGTACATAGGCGTTGTTGGCAGGCTTGTGCAATGTATGATCATATAATGTGACTAAATCCCCATACTTTTCATATATAGTGCTTAGTTATGTTTCCTCTTGTTTTACCTTGTATTTCATGTCTTGTTTTATTTAGTCTTGTAATCCCAGTCCATGTACAGTCCTGTCCAGTCATGCCCATGTTATGTTCTTGTTTTCCTCATGTCTTGTGTACATGTTCTGGGTTCTGCTTTCTGTCCTGTTCTGTGTTCTCCTAGTTCTGTCTTGTTTTCATATATGGTGCCTATCTCTAGCCTTGCCTTGCTTCAGTACTGGATACACTTCTGCTGCAGAGCCTCCCTATTCAGCTCCTGGGAGGTCTGCTTAATTCCAAGATCCTAGTTCCTGGGATCCGCATAAGCTGAATCAGGGTTCTGGTATGTGGCTGCACAAACGCTGGTGCTCAACACCAGGGGGTGTGCGGTTACCCTGCACCGGGCCCTGTAATCCATTTACACGCTGAAGACTCCCACTTCTCATCAGGCACTCAGGGGTCCCGGTTTACGCACCGCCGCCCGGACAGTGTCTGGGTCCCGGGCACCGGACCGCCACCCTGACACTGTCACCTCAAACGTATCTGTAACGGATCACCTGGCACCCTGACTGGGTACCTCCGTTGATGGATGCTCCTAGTGCTTCGCGAGGGCTCCAAGCACTCCACTTGAACCGCCACAGCTTGGTTGGGTTCTCGCCGTCTCCTACCCACCCTGGACCTACGACAAGGCTCCAGGCTCTAGTGGGTGAACGTCTCTTCCTTCAGAGAGCGAATCAGGAACAAGCTCTTAAAAGAGCTTAGTGATTATAGCCAGGGGAGCATACAGCGTATAGCAATCCCCAGTGTAAATGCAGTCTTTTTGCCCACACATGAGACAAACATGAGGGTAAAACAGGAACTCAGCAGTCTGAGGGTTTATTGTCTCTTATATAAAGGTTTTTCCCACAAGGTTACCACCCACGTGGACCTTGTGGAACACAGGATACAAAGTTACAAAGCCAATCAGGACAGACTTGTACAGTTAGACACTCCCAGATAAGGTATACAAACCCTCCCATCTGCTTGGGAGATAATTGCGTAAGATACTGTAATTAACTCAATTATCCCCAAGCAGAAAAACCAAATTTTTCACAAAACACAGAAAACACCCCAAAACACCACATGTCCCCATAAATTACATCCCTGGATAGCCCTGATCTGGGTGAACAACATATCCAAAAATCACCCAGGTCAGAGCAGGGGTTCAGGAAATTCCCAGAAGTCATATTTGACCGACCACAAGCATGGCTTTCATGCCCAAAATAGTTCCAGGGATTTAGGCTGTGTAGCCGGTCTAGTTCACATAGTTCAAATGCAGTTCGAATGCACGAACGGGGGCCGTTCGTGAAAATAGCCCATGTTAAAGTGGCGTTTGAATTGTCGAACACCGTTCGACTCCCGCTGAAGTGTCGAAGTTTCAAAGAAGGTAAAGTTCAGCAGTGTCCGATTTGAGTTCCATGAACTCGACGGCAAAACACTGCCGACCGCGTCGGACTAAACAAGATGGTTGGCGCCACGTGTTCGACTATATGAACGACGACCACCCAGCTGTTTGTCAATTAGCTTGCAGTTAACCACCAGCCTGGGAGGTAAATTGGCTGCACACTCCACTTGTGTGTGTGGTCCAGCTGTTCGGTAGTTTATTTGGTAAATCCCATTTACCAAACCACATAGTAAAAAGGCACGAACAAGCCTTTTTACAGTCCGAAAACAAAGTTTTAGCATATGGGCCATAATCCTGAGGCAAAAGGCTGACAAACAGGCCCCTCCAAAACCCAGTGGTGAGGTTATTTTCGCCACGGTATCTTTCTCTTATTGTTTCCTCTTGTCTTCCTCTTTCAGAATCTGGGTACATTGAAGTGGTCTGGGTACAGTGTCCCAGGTCCCTTAACCCAGCAATGGTAATCATTGCCATTTTTTATAAACTGTAATAATTGCCTTAGAGGGTTAACTCTACCTCTAGTGGCTGTTTACCAGACAGCCACTAGAGGTGCTCTGCCAAAAACAGAGTAAAACTCGGTTACGTGATGCAGAAGCCCCATCGGAAAGCATTAACTCCGTGCTTTCCAATGGGGAAAATTGAATGCATGCACAGGTTATGGTAGGGGTAATTTGCCACTTTGATTGTCTCAACTGGACAGTTTACAGTCTACCAGATACTCGGGTCCTGCATTTTGCTGTCAGAATGGATGGGCATTAATTGGAGGCACTGGAGACTGTCATGAACCATAAAGTTAGCAATAATAAAGTCAGAGGATGATGGAGGGTCCTAGAGAATAAGTTCTGCAAATTTAGGAAGTAAATTGAAGAAAATGCATATACCATGCACTGCAGTAGAAAGGCTTCACCTAAACTGAAGATGGTTCACTGTGCTGGAGTTGCATAGAAGGTTGGAGGAAAGTTAAAACTAGTGATGGGGAAAGGGACAGAAAAGTGATGGGATTTAGCTCAGAATAGGGGGGTAGATGGGGGACTGTTAAGAGCAAAACAGAGGAGGTATCTTATACAAATTTACTTAAATTACACCAATGTTCACTATGCTGCATCTGTCTCAACATAGCAAACAGCCTGCTTGTAACGGACCGTTTTGCCCACAAGAGGTTAAAAACCGTTTAGGCGATATTCCCTGTTTCAGATGTACAGGCAGCTCATGCAATCACCAATCTCCCGAATTGCAAGCACATGAATTCTCCAACTCCCAAACAGGAAACACACGAATACTGGAAACAGCCGAACAGGAAAAATTATACGAAAGGTTTACACTCCTGGCAGTCAGCATACAATCCAATTCCCCCAACAACGAGACGACACTTCGTTTTGAGGGTTAAACAGAATCTGCCAGAGCTGTGGGTTTATTGTTCTTATGTACACATTCTTACACATTAGTACCACCCACAGGGATTTGGAAAACAACCAATAAACATGTACAATACGCTCAGACACTCCCACACAAAATCTTCCCCTCTGCCTGTGATACAATTACGTTACACAATGGGTAATATAATTATCACAGCCAGAGAAATACAGTTTTTCCACATTATTCATAACTTGAAAAGTATGCATCACATTCACATAAATCAGCATACTCCAAATACAAACATATGTCAAAATCATCCAAATTGGTCCATTGGTTCAAAAGATAGATCGAAGTCCTTTGTGACCAAATGAAGCATGGCTTTTCTGCCCAAAACCAGTTCCACAGAGTCTTCTATCCTGGAGATAATTGGGAAGTAATCCAATTATCTCCAAGGACAGAGGCAAAACTCCATTGAACACATGGCAGCAAAAGACAATAAAACACATAAAAACATATAACTGTGCAGCCATTGCACCAAAAAGGTACATTCAACATATCCCCAGATAGCTCAGATCTGAGCGCACATTATTACTGAATAGCGCTCAGAGCACACACATACAGTTCAATTGCCATGGAGCCAAAGTCTTTCATTATACGAATGGGCTCCATGGCATAGCTATCCGAGGTATCACCGCTCAAACAGGGCAAGCACCGAATGACCTGGCTTTCGTGTCTTCTTAGGGGAAAATCAAGCGTTTCAACATGTGGCCATAGTCTAAAGGCAGCAGGCGGGCAACCAGGCTTCTCCAGTGCATAGTGGCGAGGTTGGTTCCGCCACACTGCTAAAAGTTAATTGTGAAATCTTTGCACCACGTACTCACTGACGATAGTTGTATCTACCAGAACATCATAGCAGTACTTAGTGATACTGTTGCCAAACGGCATTGCTGTTTACTAGGTGGCAATACTTTGTACTAATCTTTGAATAAGAGCATAAACATCTTATACATTTTTATGCCGAGACTTGATTGTCAATTGCCACGACGACTGCCATTGCCGATTTGACTCAACACTGGGAGCTATAACAAATATACCACTGCTGCTACAGTAGAATGACATAGTGACATCACTACCTAATGATTAAATATTAAGTTTTAAATATACATTATTTTTGCATTGTAGTCTATTTTCAGTTCATCTGGCCCTGGTTACTTCCTCCATTCCCCCCTTTTTTTCTTGTATATCTACACCGGGGTTATCCCCCAATAAGGAGGTGCTGTAACTTTTTGGCTTCATCCTATTTCACTTTTTTCTATCTTCTTTTTATTATTAATAAAAATTTAAATACAGCACAAGTGGCTTGTGACAGACCATCCTGTCCCTGGATTATTATGTGTTTTGTGTAAAAGTCTATGTTTATTTAATTTGAATACCAAACAAAACCCACAAACTACCAGGCCAC